GGGACCTGCTGATGCCCTCAGCAGCCTTCCCCTGCCGGAGGTGCTTGCTGCTGTTCCAGAGCCAGCTGAGGTCGTCGTGCTGCAGCAGGCCTACCCGGGCGTACTTTCAAGGGGCTACGGTGTCGCACGCGACCAGCCGGGAGCTTGTCCTGTCTGAGGTGGTCAAGGTGCCGTTTTATGGTAGTAACTGCGACAGCAAGTTACACCCGCAAGGTCACCAAGCTTAGCCTGCACCAGGGCTGCCTTCTGTAGGGTTCCAGGGTGGTTATCTCACATGACCTCCGATCGAATGGTCCTGAATTTGCTGCACACGGGTCACCCTGGCGTTAAAAGAGTAAGATGTTGGCCCCGTGTCACGTTTGTTGGCCTGTACCAGCACATCGGTCGCATGCTGCAGGGCTGCCAGGAGCACCAGCTAGCCTCACGTCATGTTAAGATCACCCCCGGCCCTTCCGACAGATGCCCAGGTACGCCTGCATGTAGATTTTAGGGGCGTTTTCCAGGGTCAATATTTTCTGGGGGTGATGGACTCCTTTTCGAAGTGAGTGGAGGTCCTACCTTCCGCCACTCCATCAGCAAGCGCGACCTTTGCGTCGCTGCGCTAGGTCTTCGTGGCCCAGGGGTTGACGGACGGCATTGCGCCCGACCATGGTCCCGCTTTTGCCAGCGCGGAGTATCTGGGCTAGATGACGAAGAACGAAATCAACCGAATGAAGGTTCCGCCGTAATGCTATGCTTCAAATGGTGCAGCCGAGTGGGTGGTGTCGACCATCAAGAAGAGGCTCAAGAAGAGCCAACCCGGGAACTTCCGTGCGCAGGTGAACCGGATACTGTTCAAGTACCGGACCACGCCCCACGACGTCACTAGCCATGCCACCTGTGAGCTTCTGCTGGGACGGATGGTCAAAAAATCCTTTGACGTCTTGCATTCAGACGTTCGATTAACATGGCTCCAATAGCAGCTGGAGCAGAAGCTGACTGGTGACCGAGGGTGTCGTACCGGGCCTCTGCCTGAGTCGCGAGCGTTGGTCTTCGCTAAGAACTTCCGTCCTGTTCCACCCTTGTCCACTAGAAATGTTTGTTTGTTTGTATGAGTTTATTTCAGACAAACTTACAGAGAGTCTCAGGGGACATGGCTAAAGGCACCTCAAAGCGCCTGACGAGGTCACGCCACACTTTTTGGCAACAGCGGTAGCAAAACGCGACAAGTATGACATGCTTTCACTGCTTTACAATAAAAAACAAATAAAAAAAAGAAACAACCAGTGGTGTGCGAACAGAGGTGGGCTAGTCATGTATAATATTACAATTTGCTTCAACGGATCTTTACAAAACATTACTCTTTGTGCTGTCACATGCATTTATCATGCAAGAAGTTTAGGACATTTTTTGTTGTTCTATCCTTCCGTAAATAAAATTTCTTTCACACTTTTCTTATAACTAAGGGGTCACCTGGCACTTTTTAGATAGTCTAATATAGCTATAGTCGGTTTAAAACATCTCGTATCTGAAAATGTAGCTTCTGACCTCCATAATTTGTCCGTGAACGAGATTTCATTATTACATTTTGTCTTAAATTGCATGGGCCAATTTTCATGGTCCCTCCTGTAAGCGCTTCGTCGCTGCTCGCCCGCATGCCCGACCGGAACACGTAGCACCCAAACGCCGACCATTATAGGCCTCGCCTCAAAACCTGGCTTGCACCCTCGTCCGTGACTTCTGAGGACCACGCCGTAAAAGGAGAAATGGCAACACCAGTCGGGGCCAGCAGAGCGCCGCCAATTTCGGAGGTGGCAAGCGTCGCCGCTTCTGCGGCGGCAGTTGGCCTGGCAGCAAGTTCGGTGCCAACTCTCAGTTTAGGCAGTGTCCGGCGTCGCCACATCCGACCTGTTAACACCTGCGCCCAGACGGAATACTCAACCGCGTAGGTCGCCGAACCGTTGCTTGCCTGGATAACAGTGGCTGTTGACGTGTTCGGTACTTTGGCAGAGGCTGAACGAGCTGCAAAATTTTAGTCGGCCCGTGTGCATTTTGCATTCAGTTATTTTGTTGTGCTTGCGAAAAACAAACTGGCCCGGAGGGGGGGGGGGGGGGGGGGAGGGGGGACTTGGGTCCGCGGCCTAACATGCGATGGCGCGCTGTCTCTGCGAGGCAAAATTCGCAGAACTGGAACCGGACGAGATTGGACAGATCACAAACAGCAACACTGCACAACACGAGAACATTAGCGAGACAACTCAGACGACCACGAGGGAATGGGACAGAGCAGAAATTAAAGTAGCTGCTCGAACGTCGACAGGTTCAGATGGCATAAGAATGAAAGTAGTCACGGTACTAGGAACAAAAGCGAATTGAAGTTAAGACAGTCAACTGATCAAATAATAATGGGGATAGGTACCCAATCTTTGGAGACTAAGCAGTAAGGGGTTCTTATACAAAGGCAAAGGAAAATAATGATAGCATAACATCATGCCGCCCAATAGCAATGACTTCGGACTCATAAGTAGCGATGCAGGTAGTAAAAAGAATAAAAAAATGGGCCAAAAACATTTTAGGTGAGCTTGAAAAAGGTTTCTAAAGAGATAGAAGATCAGATGATAACTTTTTGATCATCACTCAACGTATATAGGTAACACCGAAGCGAAAAAACAACAACATTACGTATAGCATTTTTAGATATTAAAGTGGCGTACGACATTGTGAGTCAGGAAAAACTCTGGGTACAACTGGGATATTATGACTAAGATGCGCACATGATTAGGCGTTTACAAGAAGTATACAAAAATAATAAGGTTGTAATAACATGGGAAGCAGAAATTACAGAACCGACAGAAATAAAATAGGTCTCAGGCCGGGTTGTTCCTATCCCCTCTAATTTTTACGATATACCTGAGTGGAATTAAAAAGAAATTAAAAGAACGTAATTTGTGTTTTGATGCGTCAGATATCGGAGAGGGGGAAAACTATGCCAAGTTATTCCAGAAATCTTTTACGCAGGCGGCATTCTACTGTTAGCAGGTAGCCGGGATAGGTTATGGGAGCTGATTAAGATCTGTGGAGAGGAAGGAGACTCCCTGGGCTTGAATTTTAGTAGCGACAGTCGGCAGTAATGGTTTATAACAATGAAAAGAAACCCGCTGAAAATTCAAGAAGTTTTGATGGAGCTCGTTTAGAAGTATAAACTACTAGGAGTATGGCTGAATGAGAGAAAACAAATCTTAGAACAGGAAGACAATATGTTAAATAAAAGAAAAAAGGAATGCAGCAATAATGAAGCAGAGGACAGTATAGAATTACATTAGATATGAAGTTGTTAGGGGAATATCGAAAGAAGTCATGCTACCGCGGTGTTTTTTTTTTTTTTTTTTGCATTGTGCTATTAACCATGAAATCTCCGGTCCAGTCGAGTTAGACTGGCACTGGGGGTGCATGGAAATACTGGAAATAAAACAGTGCGGAGACACATGAACTGTGTATTTTGCGAGGGTAGAGACGCGATCAGTTAAGTTGAACTTTTAACAAACACTGGACACAATTGATGACACACTATGGGCGAGAAACGTATATAAGCATCTGGACATGAAAAGCTTGAACACTAAATAGACAAATCTAACCCGAAAACTAAAATTCAAAAAGCAACAGGCAAGTACGGGTGCGAAACATACTACCTCTGTGAAAAAGGAAGTAAACAAGCTGACAGAAAAACGTGGGAGGATATAAAACAGGAAATATCAGCTTTAATTATGTACAGGAGACGAAAACAGAAACTAAGGAAGGAACATTGGTACGCTAATTCACAGGGAAGCTTGTTGTTATTCGAGGCTAGAACGGGAGTATTGATGACTGGAATACTTAAGACAAAGTATGAGGAAATCAATGCGTGGTGTGCCGTATGCCAAGGGGAAAACGGGACGATAGAACATGTAATGTTGAGGTGCATAAAGCTTGCTCCCGCACTCCCGGAGGCGTCGACGGATTCGGCCGGAGCGCTAGGGTTTGCGGACGAGAATGAAACAATAAATTGTAAGTGAAATTTCATAACAGAGAGGAAATTGTAAGACGGGTGGAAATTACCTAGGAAGAATTGAATGACGTACAACTAGCTGGCTCAACTGGGGAAAGGCGGAACAGAGGAAAATTGGGACTCCCTCCCGTGTGGCTCCGGCCTCAAGTCTCCACTCTGTCTCTCAGTGGGCCAAGTGCTGGGGTAACGCCGACTAGGTTTGACCAGAGGAACATTTGCGACTCCCTCGCCGGGGGAAGAGACGGGGGGAGGGGGGGGGTTTAGTTTTTCTTTGCCCGATCCCTCGAAGGTCGTCTTGGTGATATCCCACGCCGCCTGGTGATAGTTTCAAAATTTCAGAGGGCAAGCAAATTGGTGACGGAAAGAAAGCATACTTTTGGTTCTTGCCTTCTAGGCTGGGTGGCGCAAGCTACCTCCCCATATCAAGAATACAGCCGTTAGCATTCATCCATCCGTCGAAACACCGACGAGCGCAGCCGCTCACGGTCAGCTATCCTTCACGATGAGCAAGCTGCGCGTCGTCTCTTTTCTCGGCGGGTGCCTCGATCCCCTCGTTCGCTATCTCCGCCAATCGTGACAAAAATGGCTTCCAGAAGCAGTCGTTTCAAGAAATAATTACAAATGCAACGTCTCTCCAACGATCTTTGGCACCACCTTCCAATACTATATAAAAAACATGTTTAAGTTTAGATGCGATAAGCAGCGTCATCATAAATAATAGTTCTTTAAGTTGACAATTGAGATCTGATTATTTTATTGAAATGAACGTGAACGAAAACTCTCCATAAACAGATGCGTTCAGTTTTTTCTTTAGATATGAATTTATTACCTCTCATAGAACGCATTAAATAATCAATGTATAACGTTTTCACGATGACGATTAACCTCAACATTGGTGGCTTGATTCTTCCATATGTAGACACATATAGCTGGTGAATTTTATTCTTGTGCATACACAACAACATTTTGATTTCAGGTTCCGCATCAATGAAGCACGTACCTGATCCATTTTTGGTGGAAGTTCACATGATGGTGGATGAGCACCATTACAAAGTGTTTCGCCGAAGGGAAGATTTAGTAACTTATTTGGCACTCACGATTGCACTGGTAAGTTTTTTTTTATCCAGTATATATTGGCTTTAACATATTAATTTTTAAATGTAGCTGTTGATCAGACGTGGTTTGTGCCCCAATTTTAGTTTTCTTTTTTTTGTTTCTGCTTTTTTTTTTGGCGGGGGAAATGGCGGAGGGGAAGTCTTTTTGATTACAAGGAATACCTGTTATCGGAGACATATTGTACCTACCGTCGTTTTAAAAGGACATTTAAATTAAAGTGTCTAAAATTACTTAAATGAGACACTTATTTTATAGCACAAAAAGTTTCAGCAAAACAGGCGCTTATTTTCTCCGCAATATGCATGTTGCGTTATGCAATTAAATTAGAGGTCACGACCCGCTCTAGGGCGGTGAACTGCCCATTACTACTGAATTTTCCTGGCTGCTCGTTTGAACAAGTTTGCAAGCCCAATATCTTCCTGTCGCCACGTCCACTTGCATCTAGTCTCCCGTCTCACGCCACTACTGAATCGTGCGAGCAGAAGCGCGGCAGTGCTGGACATGGTCTGGTAGATCACACAAACTACCGGCGCTGTAGAATTTCATCGTGCACAAGCCACGATCCAAGAAGTCCGGCATTGGACCGTCATGGGTCTATCGATGTGCGTCAAAAAGCTTCCGAAAAAGCTAAAAAGAAGTACGCCAATCTTTAACCTTCCTTTTTTGTGTGGTATCTTGCATAGCGTTTGCGAGCAAGGTCGATAAGCTTCGGGTCGCGAAAAAAAAAAAAATTGAAATATTCACTTTGGTAAGCCAGGTGCGCTGACCAAGCCCTTAAAGTCAACTCCGCCGATGTTTTATAGCCCTTGATTCGACTGGAAATCAGCAGACCCTATCAATAGCCCTTTCTAACCCGGTTGACTAAATATTTTATAAAAGTAAACATTTTAGTGCAGGTATTTAATTTGCAAGTAACTTCGGTGGTAGTCGTCCGGTAAGTGGACTCTCTACTGACAAGTCTAATATATCACTACTTTTGCCTATCCCTGTACGTAACCGGCGGGAGGGCAGACGCCGGTGACGTTCAGGGGTCGGGAAGCCGCTCCCCGCCCTTCTCGGGCGCCAGCGGCCGAGATTTTGCTTCCGGAGACCCGAGGTAGAATGTTTCTGCAACAGGCAGCAATCTATGCTCCCCACCAGATGGCATGAAGAATGCCCCCCCCCCCCCCCCTTCGCGAAAATTATAGTCTTGGTTTTACTTCTTTTTTTCTGAGAGGGCGGGGGGGGGGGGGGGGGGGGGGCGAGGTGCGGGGACGGCAAGGCGCTTTGAGGAGGCTGCGGGTGAAAACCACGTCACCGTGCTTTAGCGCAAGCCATGCACCGAGAAAAACGATGTCACATGAAGCATTATCGCCAGTCCACGGAATAATTTACAGCTGCATGCTGCGAAATGAGTACCCTTTGGCAGGTGTAATTTTTTCAATGCTGATAACCACATAATAAAGGCCGTTGGGTACAACGAAAACCCAAATTCAAAGCGGTGCGCTAATGAAATTTCAAAATCTCATTCGTGTAGCACTAGTAGACATGCTCAGTCATATCGTTTTCTGATTGGATTCAGTGGACATTTTATTTCATTAAAACTTTAGAAGGGTGGCCTAAGTATAATCCTATGCAGCGAAAGCCGAAAAAGAGAGTTGCGGCATTTTGTCTTACGGCTGACGGTTTTTTGACGGTCTGTTGACGGTCTGTTTGACGGTCTGTTGAAGGCGACAGTTGAATCTTCTAAACAAAATTATAGTTTTTTGTCTGACATGTATTGCAATACACTGCTGTTTTTGCCAGACATTACTGAATGTTCGGCAACTGGTGTTGAGCTCATATATATCTATGCATGTCAAATGTATGTCGGTCGAATGGAAAGCGTAGAACGTTTCCTCGCAGAGGAGGTGGTGAAAAAGTTTTTCTTTTATTCTATCGCAGAGAAATATTACGGTGTGTGAAGATATATAAAGTCCATAACAATTACAGGCGTCTTTAAGGGAAGCGTGTAAATTTACTTTGATGGCGGTTGTATAGAACCGAAATTGTTGAGATCGGAAAGCTTACATGGCTAGATGCCTAAATTATACCTTCTATCATATCTACGCTAATAGATCAGGGATCAAACACTCAGGATAATACTCCGCAATAAAGAAAAACAAAATGCATTCCAATTCACCTCCCGGGAACTTTCTCTTGCTTTATGTCGTATTTAACAAATTCACGAGTTATCTGTTTACTTCTGGCATTGAAGAGTCTGTAATTTTCACCAATCTTTCTTTAGAATAAAGCAGTTTTTTAGTACTAAGAAGTTTTTTTTTTTCAATTGTCGAGTAGACCAAGGCTTTTGATTGTTAGTTGATATCTTTATTTTGGTATAGATAGATTCAGAGTTTTTAAAATCTTGTCTTTGATGAATCTCCAGTTCTTTTTGACTGATCTGAGATCTTAGGAACCCTCAAAGTCCAGCATAAACGTTTAAATGGTTGACGCGAGCTCGGAGAGAATATGCTCAAGAGTTGTCAAAATTAGCTTGCTGTCGCAAAATATTAAAAAATAGGACTGTTTGCATTTAGCACGACAATTCAGTTATCACTTATTGCATCAACGACACGAACATATGATATTAGGTGAGGAATCAATGCAAAAGAGAAGTCAAGAAAATAATTTTCACGGGTTAAAATTTACCCAACATGATAAGGTGAACAACCTCCGCAAATATCCATGAAATCCTTACAGTGTGAAATATTTCTGTAAATACTACCAGACAGACACTTAATCGAGACAATTCCAGAGTAATTAAAACCACCCCAAAGAAATATGGAACACTAAAATGCTCGTCAATCTATACCCTTTGCGACTGAACGTTTCTAAAAGTCAGAGCTCCAGTCAGTAATTCTTTTTTTTTTTCTTAACTTCTCAAAAATGCACAACAACCGTACGATTGAACTCATCCAGTTTCCTACCGATACGATGGGCACCAAATTCGCCAGGGTCTACTTTCAAGTACGTTTTATCAAAACCGATAACAATATGCTCGGATCGATCCCGTATTTCCCCGCGTTATTGTGTGATGAATTTAAAAAAAGTGAAAGCCGTTTACAACTCCCTGTAACGCCGAATTAGAGCGCAGCTCTTGAGGAGGAGGAGGGAAGGGTACTGGGGGGGTCAAGTGACCTTGGGTGGGGGTCACGTGACCTAGGGGGGTCACGTGATGATTCCGATGACGTCATCAGTAACGATGACGATGCGGATACCGATGACGTCATCAGTGACGTCACTGATGACGTCATCAGTGATGATGACTGATGACAATGACGATGCGGATGCCGGTGACGTCATCAGTGACGTCACTGATGACGTCACCAGCGATGATGACGACGCGGATGCCGGTGACATCATCAGTGATGATGACGGTCACGATGCGGATGCCGGTGACGTCATCAGTGACGTCACTGATGACGTCATCAGTGATGATGACAATGACGATGCGGATGCCGGTGACGTCATCAGTGATGATGGCGATGACGATGCGAATGCCAGTGACGTCTTCAGTGACGTCACTGATGACGTCATCAGTGATGACGACATTGACGATGCGGATGCCGGTGACGTCATCAGTGACGTCACTGATGACGTCATCAGTGATGATGACTGATGACAATGACGATGCGGATGCCGGTGACGTCATCAGTGTCGTCACTGATGACGTCACCAGCGATGATGACGATGACAATGCGGATGCCGGTGACATCATCAGTGATGATGACGATGACGATGCGGATGCCGGTGACGTCATCAGTGACGTCACTGATGACGTCGTCAGTGATGATGACAATGACGATGCGGATGCCGGTGACGTCATCAGTGATGATGACGATGACGATGCGGATGCCAGTGACGTCATCAGTGACGTCACTGATGACGTCATCAGTGATGCTGACGCTGACGATGCGGATGCCGGTGACGTCATCAGTGACGTCACTGATGACGTCATCGGGGGTCACGTGACTTGGGGAGCCACGTGACTTTGGGTGTCACGTGACCTTGGGGGTCACGTGACCCTGGGTATCACGTGACCCGAGGTCACGTGACCTTGGGGAGTCACGTGACCTTGGGTGTCACGTGACCTTGGGGTCACGTGACCCTTGGGGAGGGGTCACGTGACCTTGGGGTGACCTCGGGATGACCTTGGTGACGCCGACGGCGACGCCGCTCAAGCCGGGAACGGGCCCCTAAGAGCTGCGCTCTAAAATAATATTAGCAGGCGGTTATTGAGAACATCGAAGCTGCTGTGCTACTGTCTAAGAATTTTAGAGCGCAGCTCTTAGAGGCCCGTTTCCGGCTTGAGCGGCGTCGGCGTCGCCGTCGGCGTAACCGCGCGGTGCATCATGGGAAATGTCCCATAATGCACCGCGCGAGCCTCCCACCGGGGTCACGTGACTTCGTGGGGGGGCACGTGACCCCCCCGAGGTCACGTGACCCCCCGAGGTCACGTGACTCCCCTGAGGTCACGTGACCCCCTCCTCGAGGTCACGTGACCCCCGCCGATGTCGCGTGACCCCCCGGTGACGTCATCAGTGATGATGACGATGACGATGTGGATGCCGGTGACGTCATCAGTGATGATGACGATGACAATGTGGATGCCGGTGGCGTCATCAGTGATGATGACGTCATCAATGATGATGACGTCATCAGTGACGATGACGATGTGCATGCCGGTGACGTCATCAGTGATGATGACGTCATCAGTGATGATGACGATGACGATGCGGATGCCGGTGACGTCATCAGTGATGATGACGATGACGATGTGGATGCCGGTGACGTCATCAGTGATGATGACGATGACGATGTGAATGCCAGTGACGTCATCACTGATGATGACGATGACGATGTGGATGCCGGTGACGTCATCAGTGATGATGACGATGACGATGTGGATGCCGGTAACGTTACCGACATCCGCATCGTCATCGTCATCATCACTGATGACGTCATCAGTG